GTTGTTATTTTTCACATTCCCGACAAAATCTTTCCACCGAGTATACGGATGTCCTATTGTAATTAGTATTAAACAGTCGAGGCAGCGGTGCAGTTCACCGAGTGCAAGATAAACTCGATTGCAAATATTTAACGACATACATACGTTTGAATTTGAGTGAGTGATGGGCAAAACAATGTTCGAGACGAGCGACAGATAAAGCGTAATCGTCGCGTTCTGCGTTCTTCTTTTCTTTTTTGTACGAAATCTCTTTACGTTCGTTGTTCCCCGGTCGAAACACTCTTCCCTCCCGCCGACACACTCGTCGATCACACAGATAGAACTCAGCAAACACTCGCTAATCGATCGTCAAATATTTTCCAATAATCGATATAAATATATATATATACATATATGTAAATACACTGTTATTTACTCAATTTATTACGTCTCTCTGTATATACGGACAATGACTCGTATATATCTGGTACAGATAAAAAAAAACAATATTCAATAACATTATCGAGCTTATCGAATCGATGCATCGGAAGAATCCCGTCGAAGTCGCTTATATCGTATCGATTATATATCGAGTTGTTCGACGCGTGTTTTTGCTGGGATCAGGTTTCAGCGGTTCGTCCAACAACACACATTTCACACGTCAACGAATAATATTCTTCTCCTCGCAACACGCGCAAACCCGTCGATTTCGTTTTCGTTGTCGCGCAAAATGATTTTTGTAAAATGCGCGATTATTTCTCGTACGCTTCGTTCACTTTCGGTATTACGAGTTTCGTTACCTATGTTAATTACGATTAATCTCGAACGATTATGTACGCCGCCATAGTTATTATTTTATTATTATTATTTTAAAGATTATTACGATTACGGTTAATATTATTACAAATGCAGCGTTCATATTTTGTTATTAAATTAGACTCTGTTGTTGAACGAATCACGCCTTTTATTTTATTATTTCCAATTCTATCGAATAGACCTGCTTACTTACCTCCTTTTCAGTTTTTTTTTTTAAATTTTCGATTTCTCGATATTTCGATATATCGACGGTTTAGAATAAATGTTGAAACAAGTAAAGGAAAATTGAACTCTGGAAGAGGAGAAGGTGTGCAAGAAATAAGACGATGATGTTTGCGTTCTCCAGAATTTTTATTATAAATAAATTCTCTGAATCTCTGATTTAAATGCCTAGATTCCGTAAGAAGAACCAGGTATCGTGTTCTTTCGTCCATTCATTTTGCAAGCGTACGTACGTCACAAGCGTGTCTCTACGTTTGCGTCAAAACTGAACGAACGAATCTACAAAACTTAGCGGTGATTGCTACGTTCTCTAACGGTGAATAAGTTACCTCAAAAGTATAATAATAATCAGTTAATCTTCGTTAAGCTTCGTTATTTCGTCACACAGAAAAGTAACAAGACAAAACGATCGAAAAAGAAAAAGAAGTTAAAATTAGCAAATTAGAGAAGTCCTTGATTCTTTTTTTCCCGATAATACGTTCTATCGAATTCGTCGACGTTAAAAATAATATACACAAAACGTAAAATCGAACGTATACCATACGCTTATTGCTCATTTGGCGATACAAAGTCGTACAAGTCAGAGAGGTAAACCGAATGTCAAGGTTCTGATTCTCAAATGGAACCCTGGTATTTACATTAAATCCACATACTAAGGCTCGCTCGATTCACGAGGCACGAATAAAGTGCATTTCTGAAAGACTATCGATTAATCGATAAAAACAAAAATCGTAATAACGTGACAAACGATCGATCGATAAGTGCACTTTACCTGCATCCTACGAAAATAGAGTTATGGTTCCACTTAACAGAACCGAACCCGACGCTGTGTCTAATCCGTTACAAAATATCCAAAATATTCAACCTTCTGTTTCCCTCTCCGAATAAAGGCAGACCTTGTCGTCAATTCCAGTAACGTCACTAAAAAACAACGTAGAGGTATGTACACACGTTTTGAAAGTAAAACACGCTGTATAAATAGAGTCATAAGAAACGAAGCGACAGAAAGAAAAATGACGGTGGAAGAAGAAAAGAAACTCGACGTATCTCTAGCCGCGATAATAATACGATACGCGAAAGCTTATCAGATTAAATATCCTTACAATTAATCGAGAATCATTCTTGCCACATCGTAAATTGTAAATCATATACGAATTCTTCTTCTTTTTTTCTTTTTTCGTTCTCGGCCCCCCCCCCTTCCCCCCAGCTCTAGAGCTCAGAACTCTAATCAGTTGGCGAAGCGTTGATAAAGGTTGCTCCAATTGGTGTCGCGCGGTTCGCTTGAAATCTCGATTCTTCACAGACGACAGTATCGCCGGAAGCAGCTTAGCCACTTCGTAATTCGCCGGTCTCTTCGCCGCTCCTCCTCCTGTTCCGACCGCGTCCTACAAAAGAACCGGAATTATTCTGTAATATCTCGTTCTTACTGGTGGAATAGCAATCTAACAATAGGCTACACTGTTGTTTGGTGTCGCGCACAAATGACCGAATGGCGATGCTAGACGTGACGCTCTATGGACCACAACACTTTCAATGGTCTTCTACTGGCGCGAAGAAATAAGGACTGAAATAGATACATTTGAAAAAAGAAGCACGAAAAATGGGAGACAATTTTCGGGGATAAAGATTTTGTTGTTTCGTTGTGTCTACGACGTTTCTGAGAGAGACAAAAAGTTCTAGAAGAATATTTATATAAGTGGAAAGAAAGTGTTAGTTTCGTGATTAGAAAGGTGATCCCCGTGTCGAGAGAAAAAAAAACTATGCGTGAACATGTATAGCATTCAAGAGAACATAACATTTTTGATACATATAGGTTCTTTCTTTTTGGAATTTTTGTTATTTTTCGATCGAAGAGAATGATCGTTATTGAATGGATGAAATAATTCTAGATGATTGATCATCTAGATGGACAAAATGGTGAAAGTCCATGGTGTTGCATAATCTTGTTCGATAATGTTTCACGTGCTCGCTAGTATTAAATCTAATATTCAAATGATAGATGAATATAGATTAGATAGGTATGCATATTACATGAAATAATCTTTGCACCTGCCCATACCGTGACCTAGTACGTTAGCTATAATATAAAGAATTAACACCGTTTTAAATTTATTCTAGTGTATAAAAACACGATTGTAAATGTTTTTCATTTCTTTCTTTTTATCGGTTCGCGGTATCTCGATAAGCTTTTAACGATAATAGTAATTAAAAAACATAGAAAAAGAAATATACACTCGTCGTTGAAAACACACATTTCCTGGTATATATATATATTAAAGATATTTTCCTTGTGTTTGTGATTAAAAACTTTATTTTCATCGCTACAATAATTCGGAAAACTCTTTTTTTTTTCTGTGCATAAAAAATTACAAAATATTCGTTTAACCTTATTATCGTTATTGTTTAACAGCGTCATATTGACCGTTTATATTTTATTTATTTTGTTTTAATACTTGGCCTCGATGGCATATAAATGTTAAGCTAAGACTTTGTACTTTGCTTTGTCCTCTTCGGAAACATTTCCTTATTTTTTTTTTCTTTTCTTTCTGTTTTTTTTTTTAAATTCTGTGTAACACAGAATGTGTAAATAAACATATACATATTTACGTAGTACGTCTAAACAAGTAACTTCATGTAATTTCTTCGAAGAAAAAAAAATAAAAAAAAAAAATGTTTAAAAAAAGAAGAAGAAGAACAAGGTATGATGACGATTTATGGATGTCACAGTGGAATTACAAAAGCTATAGACAACGTTCACAACGTGAAGAAACATAAGGGGGCATATAAAAATTCTGTACACCGTTATTTACTCCGATACCTGTACGTTAATGGGGAAAAGCAGCCGAATTTCTTCAGTATGTTACTCTTAATTACGTTGAACATACTAGTGTAGTGTACTATCGGAAGGTCTTGGGAAGTATTATTATAAATTTTCACTACCTCTGCGTATCTGATTGAGACATGCCAGCATTCTGATCATAAAAACAGCAGGTACAGTCATTGTGTCTTTGGTCTCTTCCAACATGACTGCGTTCCTCTTTTTCAACTGTAAATATACACGTGTCAACATGTTGCATTTCATTAAAACTCTTTGTTTCGTCACACACGCGTTTAATAACGAACAAATTTAAAAGAACTTACATCTTCGGCAAACTTTTCATCGAAGGTAGACTCTTCGTTTATCGGTGCCCAGAGCTTAACGTCGTAATCTATTCCGGCAGTGACCAGTAATGGCAGATACGGGTGTGGTTGCAAACAGTTTACAACATGTTGATCCGCTTCCAGTAGCATGCACAGCTTCGCTGTGTCTTTCTCCCATACGAACACATGGCCACAATCGCTACCCGACATGACGAAATCGTTGCCCCAGAAGTTTGCCTCTTTGATCATGGTCCTAAAGAAACTAGAGTCAAACGGGGGAAGACCAACTAATCAGATAATATGGCGGCCTTTATACGAAATGGCCCACACCGTTCGAAGGCTTTTTCGGAATAAAGAAAGGAGTCAACAATTTGTGGTTTCCGATTGATTGGTTCAAACGTTACTTTTTTTACATACACAATTTACAATAGTTAACACGTTATATACACGAATAAAGGTTTTTCAGGGAACCAAACTCGACAAATAGAATTGGTATCTTCAACGACAAGAATCACTAATATACTCTACGACATATATCACCCTTTTTTTTCTTTTTCTTATTATTATCCAACATATAGCCAATTAAAGATACTTCGCGGACAATACAAAATTGTTGTTAATCTTTTAGTCACAAGATTTAATCATATGTATAGCCTTCTGAAAGTTTGTGATTTATTGGTGCTTGAATAGCGTTAATCGTTGGAGACCACCAAATTAAAGTTATACCACAATGTAACAGAGAAACGATAGTATACCTGGCATTACGGTGCCCCATGTATTTCTGTTTCACACGAAGCTCCGTTACACACGTTTCATCGAAGCTCGTTGATCCTCGACACGCACACGAGTTACCGATAACCTCGTTCCTTTCTTTATCGGCAAAACTTCTTACTCTAGATTATCGAAAACAAGCGTACATTTCTTTTGCTCGAGTGCTTTACGTTGCACGCAGAAGCGTTCTAGTTATAAAACATTAAATGTTCATAACGTACCTTTCTCTAGGCTGTATATCTTCGTCATCGCTATCAGTAAAAGCGCTTTCATCAGTCTCTGTCAAAAAGATAACGCATGATTTCTGATCTTCTGGAAAGTACACCTATTTGTTGTACCGTATCTACTTACTTTCTTGTGTATCACTATATCGTATGTGTTTGTCATGATTTCTGCCCGAGTACGTTCCACTACTTCCAGAAGGTCCTGTGCGACAAGACATTTTACTCAAGATAAATCAAATTCAACAAATTATAAAGCAGTTTAAAAATACACAATACACCACTTACCTGCATGATAACCATCACGGATCATCTCATCGGCTACACCAAGAGATATCGTTGCACTTGTAGAGCTTTTATCCGTATAAGTTAAATTCACAGCAGGTTCACTACCATGTCTGTAAGTAAAACGCGAACGAATAAAGATATCCGATCGAGGTGGCAATCTAACTCATTTAGTAGTACTCTTTTTTGGATATCATACTTTTCGAGGAACCCGACTCTCATTTTTGTCAGTCTATCTTGAAGATTTTCCATCATGTGCCCCTCCTGTTTATTCTCCATACTGCTACACGGGGAATCATCGTTACTACTCTGATCGTCCTCTGGGGCATCACTGGTTTTATCCATAGTACGCGATGAACACGGTTGCACAGAACACGTCTGTGTTTCTATTTGACTAGATTCAGTTTCCATAGGAACATGTGATTTGCATTCAACCGGCGAACTCTCGTCAGTCGTTTGATTCGAAGTCATAGCTTCATTGCATTGCGTTTCCTCGTTCATTTCCGTGGAACGACTCGTTCCGGGTTTACTTTGCAGGCCGCTGCAACTCGGACCGTCCGTTCTATCCGTTTGTTGCTCTGAAACAGCTGCGTAACGTTTCGATTATTACCGCGATAATCCGATAAAAATCAGGCAACTTCAAATAAGATATAAATAAATACCTGCTTCTTGATTAATCTGAGCCGAGGCTCCTTCCGATTCGTTGTTTCTTTCCTCGCTAGATTCCGCGATACTTTCGTTGCTATTTTGGGCGTTATCTTGATGATCGATCACACCTTCCAAACTACCTTCACCACCACACAACGCGGCTCTAGTGGCTGGGTCATTTAACATTCTGCTAAGAACATCCGTCATTCTCTGCATCAACGAAGTATGAAGAACGGGTCTAGCGTGAGCAATTTCTAAAAACACGAATATATGTATATAAGTATACACGTTACTTGGTGAAGGTAAAAATAGCGAGAACGTGTAATTTCCAAGTACCTGTAGCGCTAAGTCGACCACTTTCGCATTCGGGTCGAGCATCAGGACCAGTATCAGACCAGTCCCCTCTAAGTCTTAATCTACGTACTGGTAATGACGAGCGTAACCTTTGTTTCTTACCCTCTCCCTTTCCAACCGCGATTTCTTTTTTTAACTGTACACTAGCTTGGTCCTAAATAAAATGATCGATTTTATAACCGAATGTAAAACACATGGTTATTCTGAAAAGAGGATGTTTCTTGTACCTTCACATTGAACAGGTAAAGGTGGTCACTACTATAACTAACAAGAACATCTTGTCCATCTGGACTGTAATTCACAGATGTTATCCTATAGGAATTTCCTTCGAATTCTGGAACAGTGAAACTGCATAATACCCTCACTGCTCCAGGTGCATCTGTCCATCCTACAAAATAATTTCCCTTTTTCATTTTTCCTGTGCATCAAATTATTCTCAGCTGTTGCAAGCATTAAAATTACCAGTGGCTGGTGTTCCAAGTGTTCTTCTATCAAATATTCTAACAGTACTATCAGAACAACCTATTGCTATTTGATGGGGTGAAACAAGATTCACAGACAGAGCTGTTACAGCTCTTTTACATGAGATTAGTATATCCTCTGTGCATCTTGAGGCATTGCACTTATCTTTTATCCTAAGATCAAACCATCTCACTGTTCCATCCTCTCCACAACTTAGGAAATTATGTGGTTCACCAGGTATTGTTGCTATTTCATAAGTAGTGCCACTGTGACAATTAAATTGATTATGAAATGTGTTTGTCCTTCTCATTAAATCTGTAAGTGTCAAAGAATTTAGAGTCATAAATCATGTAAAGTTGTACCAGTCTGTTATTATACTTAGTAGAAGATCATTGAATCTTCACCTGTATACAAAATAATGCCATCACCACTACATGAAACTATCTGGTGATCTCCACTATTAGGCAGAAACTTTGCACTAAATATATTTGCTCTATGACTGGTCTTGTAGTCTGTCAACACCTGTAATTGAGAAGTAATAACTTGGAAGAAATTTCTTGTTGATCTCTAATTAGTAAATATTTTAACATTCATTTCCCTATGATATAAAATATATAGAACTTCTTATCCTCTTTAATTAGGAAGATAGTTCTAGACTGATGACTTTAGATGATAAAATTAGCTCTACATGCACTGCACATAAAGGTTTTTGTTCATTTGGCAAAGCTTCTACATTTCTATCTATGTCAATGTTAGACCTTGACTAGAATTAACCATCTGTGATATTTCCTTGAAAAAGGTTTATTGCCAATGAAACTTTCAAATGAACTTCCTTTTAGTAGAATTTGGTGCTATTTGACCTTATGTAATAGATTTTTGATGTATAAATCATAACAGACAACTTTCTACAAAGATACTAATCTGAGGTATGAGGAACAATTTTATCCTATGATGTAGAAGTATATTTATAACATATTTATAATAGCATGACAATATAATAACATTAAGTAGTCATGATAAATTCAATGTAATCAGGTAAACCAAAATAAATACAAGGCATACAAAGATTTTGTGTTAATACATAAAAATGAAAACAAAGATGAAATAAAATATTGACAATGTATTAAGGAACAAAGAAACACACATGCAAGTCTCTTAAACTTGCTCTGTCAAGGGTAAAAATATAAATAACTTTGGCACAGAATTTTACAAGATACATGAATATATTTGAAATTAACACATGTGTATAACAGAACAAGAAAAAAACAATTATATTATTATATTAAAATTGTGAACTTTTTGTAGGGTTTCAAACTATAGACAATGATTGTCCTCTTCTTCAAGCAACCTTCTAATTCAATTAAATCTGTGAAAACATGTATTAATAACTATAAACACTTACCTCATAATTATAAGCATTTGTAAGAACAAGGTGTTGATCATCACTACCAGATAATATCAGTTCTCCAGTAGCATTCCAACAAACAGAGTTTACACAACCGTTATGAACTTTTAATCTCTTTAGTAATGCCATACGTTGTATCATTTGAAGGCTTGCTAGAATGCATTTATAAAAAAGTAATCACTTATGAGGAAATGCAAAAAAATTCTAAAGATATTATATCTGTCATTTTGTTTGATTACAATATAACCGTTCTTATCTAATAAAAAAAGATTTTACAAATGTCTATTATAAGACTTTTTTCTTTTACATCATCGCAACATTACTCAATTCTCGATAATACGTTCCAATTCAATTGACGTTCGTTAAAATTAAAAAAAAAAAAAACATTTTTATCTTACACAGTTACACTTCACCAAAATAACGTTATCACATTTTCGCTTCAAAACATATCGTTCGAAATACCTTTACTGCTGGAGTAAAGCTTCATCCTGGTGCAGTCATTGTACGGTTGATAATAAATGTCACGAAAAATATTTGAACGTGTCTTCTTCATAGTCGTAGTTTAACTATTGCGGTGAAGATTAAGCGTCAATTTGCGACGCGTATCGATCCCGGATTACTGTCAAATTTCTGGTAACCGCGGTGAGTGGCAAACGCGAGTCTGTCAATCAGCGACAGAACGTTTTTTTTCGTATCGACCGAATCAAAGGCCAAGCAACATGCTCTTACGCAGCAAAACTCCACGAGGATGATACCAAAACGACATGGCACTTGTACTAAAAATAAACTCCAAAGCTTCGAAAATTTGTGCAATCAGATGAGCTGCGACCGTCTCTGACCAGAACAGCTGAGCGAATGTACACACACAATGCTGAGAAGAAAGTGCGCGAGAACTCGATCATTTCATAGGAGTATAATCGATGTCGACAGTAACGTGACATGAATTTAAAGAACCCTTCTTCTTTGACGTTCAACGTCAATTAAAAATGAAACCCGAGAAAGCATTTTTCATGAAAGACTGAATCTTTAAATCAGGAGATCCTTCATTGAATTTTCCCGCCATATGTTTATTCAAAATCATCCTTTTTTTTTCACATGGAAATAATAACGTTTATTTGTGTACATATTTGTACCGAAAATTTCTGAGACAAATTAATTAAGGTGGTTTTCACTAAAGCCCTTATCAAGACATTCATGAGTGTCCACCAGACAACCTATATGATAATCTCGACGATTAAATGAACTATCGATATATCGAACTTCTCTATCGAGGAGTTTACATTTTTTAAGGAAGACTCTGCGGAGCGTGTGCCAAGTGATTTCATCACTATCGTGATTCATTTGACTTCGATTCCATTATTATCCCTTTTTCTGTATTCCTATAATCAGTGAGGGAAATAAATAAATGTGCCCTTCAAAAAGTATTGTGCAAGCCGCGCGAAGGCTTCGTAAGGTTATAAATATTTAGCATTACGAGGAGGTCTGATCAGCGTGGTACTCAAACATAAAGTGATTTGGCACTATCCGCGGCAAAAATGACAGTTATGGATTTTTTTGGTTGTGCCTTTTTAGCTTTTGGCCCACCATTAGCTATGTTTACATTTACTGTCGCGGTTGAACCCATCAGAATTATTATACTAATAGCCAGTGCCTTCTTTTGGCTCATTTCTTTATTATTATCGTCGGTGCTCTGGTATGCTGTGGTGCCACTACAAAATCACCTCGCATTTGGACTCGTGTTTTCTGTATTATTTCAAGAAGCATTCAGGTAATTACAATGAAAATCAAACTTATGTTGTTTCTTTATATTTTTCTTTGAATTTACTTCATTGAAAGATTATTTACACTTCGATTTTTTTATTATTTTTATACAGGCTTTTGTTGTACCGGGTTTTGAGGAAAGCTGAAAAGGGATTAGATAAAGTTACAACATCTGCTGTAGCAGAGAGCAGACATGTGTTTGCATATGTGTGTGGTTTGGGATTTGGTTTTATGAGCGGTGCCTTTGCTCTGGCCAATGTCCTAGCAGATGCTGTTGGACCTGGAACAATGGGACTTCGACAAGGCACAGAGTACTTTTTTGTAATATCAGCAGCTACAACCCTTTGCTTTATCTTGCTACATACATTTTGGGGTGTTGTATTATTTGCTGCTCTGGATAGAAAAAATTGGGGACAAGTTATTTGGGTCGTTGGCTCACACTTGTTTGTGTCATGTATGACCTTGTTAAATGTGTACCAAGCTTATGTAGCTACTACTTTATCTGCTTATGTGGTTCTGATAATAACAACTGCACTTGCATTCAAAGTTGCGGGTGGCAGAGCTCAAAGTATAGCTCACTGTTTTTCGAGGCAGTAAAATAAAAAACTTTGATGACAAAGTTGAAATATAGGTAGTTGTGTTTAACAGAAATGGACATCACAGATGGCATGGTTTTTTTTCCTTAGATATTAAACCATAAAGAGATTGTTCACTACCCTGATATACACTATGTGTAAAAAGATATGATGTTAAATTAACAGACCATATCTTATTCTTTGATATTATTAAAACAGACAAACAATGATCAGGAATGTATTCTTGCAGATCAAAAATATGTTAGAACTTACTAAATGAACTTCTATACTTGACCAAAATGAGTAGGAAAATCTGTTTTGGTATATCAGTATTATTTAACATTCAAACAATATTTTCCATGTATTACGAGTATACAGTTCAATCCCGTTATAAAAAAATTTCCCGAAAAAATTTGTTGTACTGAATGGTAATACGTTCTAGCACAGAATTTTTTGGTCAAGCTGCTAGTCCGTCCCTTAACCCATCGAAACAATTGTATAACCAAAACGTGATAATGTTTCAATTCAGAATCTAATTGTACTGAAATTGTGCAATATCATCTTGTACTACGAAAAAAAAAAAACGAAGTCTAAAACGAGTGTGAATGTACATATGTAAGAATGTATGTATACATATATAATGTACATGTTCTATGAAAACAGAGAAGAGTAAATTTTGTGCATCAATTCACGCCTTAGATCTAAAAACAAAACTATTCAAAAAGGTTATACAAACGATAATAATACGTATAATACGTAAGGAATTGTTCAGTAGTTTTTGTATGTATATAACATTAACAATTGTAATTTAGGTGTTTAATATACATCTGTATATTTGACATTGCGTTTCACTTACCATTTCGTGATGGTTTCTTACTCGATTCGTGTTACATTTCGTATGACATTCAAATAAAAACCATTTTTGTACAACTAAAGGTACATTTAATTGTAATCCTTATTCTGAATAACAAACACCACAGGATGAAATAGTTCAATTCTTTTGGGGCAAGAAAAAAAACAACGCCGAGATTATGTTTTGAAATGTACGAATACTTCAATCGGTTTTTATTAAGAAAAAGCTTTGAGAATGAAATGAATCACAGTCACGAGATATCGCTCGAAAAAATTCATGTGTCATTCAATTATACACTTAAAAACTTATGTATCAAATACCAGATAAAATCTGAGAGCATGATCACGTATTTTCACCCTGTGGAACAACTGAATTCCTAATCAGTCATTGATAATATCTAGGAGCTTGTTAAGGAAGCCATAAGTAATTCCATTTTATTTAAAAAGTTCTTTCCCTCCATTTTGTCCCATCGAACTTCTTTGAATGAACCACCTAAATTTTCCCACTTTCTTTCTCTTACTAATTGGCCAGGGAAGAAATCTTTCCTAGGGGAATGAGCTATTGCAACTTGTACTCCTGTTTGTGGTTCACATCTAACAGCTATCATCCTAAAACCCCAAGCATTATATTAAACGAAAACTCGTATAATTTTCTACTTAAGAATAAGAATTAATAAATACCTATCGCCTATTGGAGAAGCTAAAATACAACTGCTAGCATTTCCTAAAGGTTCTACCGCACCTAAACCGAGATGTGAACTATTGGCTAAAAATTGCCAACCCATACATTTTGCTAACGCTTGTACTGCTGTTATTTGGTGCTGATAAATCTGTAATAACACAATAATCAATTGTATAAATGTTTAATAAAAGTTAAGACAAAAAAAAAAGGTATAATTACCTGACAAAATATTAGGTCCCGTAATTCTTGAGGTTCGTAACTCATATGCATCACTCTACCATCTCGACAAACACATTTCAAAGACTTTTCTCCTATATGGACAACAAGAGACGTTCGACATACGGTATCATATCCGTGCGTTAAAATATTAATTTTTACACAAGACTGCGTGGGCGAATTTAATGCGTTCCAATGAGAAACTATCAAAGGATCTTTCACTTCTTTCGCTATTGTGTCTAAAACGTATTCGGTACGCAATCGCATAAAGTAATGTTGAGCCTGTTGAATAATTTGTTCTAAGAGAGTTTGACTTTTCGTCATCTCTAAGAGTTCGTATCTATCGGCAGCTGTTGGTCCAGCGAGGCATCTTCGTTTACTAGGTCCGAGAGGGCCCGAAGAAGGATGCGGGAATGGATGATGAGTATTTTTGTGATGAACTTCACGTAAAAGTTGATGCAACGAATGTTCTAATACATGATCGTGATCACTTTTATGAGGAGGAGGCGCGGATGGTTTTTTGTCGTTTCCCGTACTGTGACAAAGTCCGATGATTAACTGTATACCAGGCAGTACCTAATATCGGAAAAAATTTGTGCAACATACTGTAAACATAAATGTGCAATATATATTAACGAAAAAAAAAAGTTTACCGTCGCCATGATTTGATTGCCAACAACCATATGAGGTATGGGCGCGCGTAAATGTACTGCTTCTCTCGCTAATTGACTGAACAATTCTTTACAAAAAAGAACATTTTGTGCAGCTTCCAATTTTTGCTGCCAGTGCATATCTGCATTAGAACTATGTGCACTGTTGTTAAGTAAACTAATATTTGCACTGCACAGGTCTTCCTGGTCTAAGAAAAAATTCAATATTTCCAATGTCAATGTTACACTGTACAAAAATATACCGAAGAAATGTACCTACCTTTTTGACATAGTACTTCTATGTAAGCAACACCTTGCAATTCACTAGGAATAGTAACTCTCAATGCAGAAGCCTTGGAGTTTGGAGGATGTGTCTGGCCTGAAGTGTTATTACTAGCACTAGGAGATGCAGGAGGACTGGTATTACTTTTTTCTTCCTCTTCTGCCTTTGTAACTTCAAACATACCAGTCTGGGGAAACTTAGAACCAGCTATGAAACTTTGTATTAGTAAATTCTGAAACAATTTGAAGATATGAAAAATAATTACAAACCTGTTCTATAACTGAGATCACCGATAATTGAATTGGAAACTTTTTTTAAACGCCAATTTTGTCTCAATCTCAATAATTCAATGTGAAAGTCTGGAGTTGATCTATTTCTAGCTAATTCATTCTGACAGTTCTTCAATCTATCAGCTCCCATCATAATGACAGATGCAGCTCCAGCCAGTGCCTTCTTCCTAGCATACACTTGTATCATAAGTTTCACTTCTGCTGGCTCTTGTGGCACAGGATCAAGAACCATGTAATGCTTTTCTTTTGCTATTGCAAGAACATCTGCTAATACACATACTTCTGTTAATGCATTCCTATAAATAAAGTAAACATTGTAGTTTTCTACTATGACAAAATTATATCTAAAATGTATAAGAATATGCAACCTTAATTTATTCCTAACACTATCCCATGGCCATAAGGAAGACTGAAAAGAAGCTGAGTCTTTTGTGTCCTCCTCACCCTTTTCTCCACCTTCAGTTTCTTTTTTAACATCCTCTCCATTGGTTTTGCTAAAGTCAATTTTTTGCGCGATTTTTACCAAGTTCTCAGACAATGTAAGAGGTCTGAAAAGTTGTGCGTAATTATAATTAATTATTTTATAATATGTTATGTCATAAAATGTAAATGAAACGTTATTTTAACACCGAGGTTAGGCGAAAAATATAAGAAATACACTTAATGTTAATTCTATTTATTGATCATTGTTCATTCCACTTTGGTACACGATAAATGAACGAACAACGTACGCTTGATAAATTTCTTGGCCATCGTATGTGATTTCTTGAATTTGATTTTCGATCGGTGCTTCCACAGAAATGTTCACCGAATACGCCATTATTGTTTTCCTGAGGCAGAATTGCCACTACAACGAATAAATAACAGCTAAATGTGTAAAAAGTTCCCTACAATAAATGTTAAAAATAAATTTTAAACTAGAAAGAATGGTGACCTTAATGCATTGCGTCATCACTGTCATTAAATCTACTTTTTTCAAATGTATTATTCATATCTGTTTCATAGTTTTCATTCAAATTAAAGCACAAAGTTGGAACAGAAACTTGAACCATAGACGAGGTACTGGGTAGACCAAACACGTTATGAGACATTATGTCCAATGCTCTGAAATACCGATCGTGTAAAAAATCAGAGGTTATGTTATGCCTTCTACGATAAAAGAGCGGCGACTTTAGAAATTATATACAATTCAATCATCAGAAATGCTAAAGTCGGCAGATATAAAAGGTCAATCCTTTATTGATTCGCATATAGAGATATTTCTATATATTGGATTACGTCGGTAGAATTTTGACGATTTCTCAACAGCAGTAGAACAATTATGTTCTCATATTTTTGATTGCAGTATAATGAGAATTCTTTGAATTTTTCACTTTTAACAGTAGTTATTGTAAATTAGAGCATAATTGCATGTGGTAAGTAGCTTAAAATTGACATTTATAATAAATTTTTAATGCCTTTAGCAATACTAATAATGTAGATACGAAAATAAAGTTTCTATCTTATTTTCAAGTACTTTAATTGAAGAATGATTAGTGTTTCTTGTTAAATAACAATTTAGATGGTAGTTTATTATGGACTGATTTACGTCCAATTTTTGAAATTTCTGAACTATCCTGCGAGTCAACCATAAGTCAGACCTTGACATTTGTTCAAAACCAGTAGTGCAAGTCAACCATTTCTCAGAGGTTCGAAATTTTTCCGCGAGTTAGCTAGTAGTGCAAGTAAATCACTTCTTAGACACGTCAAAATTCTCCAAGTCCAATGTTCGAAGCGGAAAAAGCAGCTTTATTTGTCAATTCATTAATATATCACTTTATTAAAGTTTCTGTTTTATTTGCAAGTACTTTCGTCGAAGAATAATTAATGTTTCTCGTTAAATAACAATTTAAACGTTTGTTTAAATTAAAAATGGAGGGTTTCAGGCAACCACAGGAGTCAAGGAAAAGATTTCAATATCAGGAGAGATGAAGATATACAGTTATTTGTGAGAAAATCAATTATTTATTGTAAATGTAATTGTACAAAGTGCATTTTACAAAAGGTTACAATATACCAATATTGTTTCACAGCATTTCACAGTCTATTTATCTCTCCCTTACACACCACGTCCGTTTCCTTAGCAGGGAACTCATTCTTTAAACAATATATCATTGCAAAATTAAATAAACTGTTTAAAAAGTATTTTACAAAAGGTTACAATTCTCCAGTAGAGGGATTATTTATAGGGATGGAGAAATATGTTGAGAATGTATAATGACGTTTTGTTTGCGCGGAGCATTTGTTTCCGTATGAGTTGAAGTTGCAAATTGATCGAGGTGTGGGATACGGTTGCAGTAGCAGGAAAAGAACTTTTATATCGTCGAACGGTGATTTTTCAGTAGCAAGATACTTTTATTTCATTGTTCATCTTTGAAACTTGAATGCACACATTGTTACAGTCTCTATTCTCGAATGCAACATCGATGGAAGCACAATGTTGAATGCACAACATTGTTGTACTCGTTATTTATGAATGCAACATTGCTTGAAGCGTTATCTTTGAAGACAAACATTGTTGGAATCTCTATTTCTGATTGCAACATTATTAGAAGCGTTATTTCGAACGCAAACCGTACTACAAGCACAACGCTTGAATGTAACGTTGTTACAAGCGTCATTCTCGCTTGTAACAACGTTAACTTGTATTATTCTCGAATGCACATTGTGGCAAACGTGTTATCGGGTCTGCAAATTTTTTGTCGCGAATCGCACCCGAAAACTGCACATTGTTGCAAAACGCGATTCTTCTTTTGCAACTTTGTTGCCGCAAATGTCCCCCGAAAATTACACATTGTTGCAAAACGCGTTAAAAGAGTTTGCAACTTTGTTGTCAAGAATCGCTCCCGAAAATTGCACATTGTTGCAAACGCGTTACCGGGTTTGCAACTTTGTTGTCGCCAAAATTGCACATTGTTGCACGACGCGCCGTTTTGCAACATTGTGCATTTCCGGGAGGGACTCTCGGCAACAAAGTTGCAAAACGCACTTCTTCTTTTGCAACTTTGTTGCCGCAAATGCCTCCCGAAAATTGCACATTGTTGCAAAACGCGTTATCGAGTTTGCAACTTTGTTGTCAAGAATCGCCCCCGAAAATTGCACATTGTTGCACGACGCGCCGTCTTGCAACATTGTGCTTTTTTCGGGAGCGACTCGCGGCAACAAAGGTGCAAAACGCGATTCTTCTGTTGCACCTTTGCTGCCGCAAATTGCTCCTGAAAATGGCACATTGTTGCAAAACGCGTTATCGAGTTTGCAACTTTGTTGTCAAGAATCGCCCCCGAAAATTGCACATTGTTGCACGACGCGCCGTCTTGCAACATTGTGCTTTTTTCGGGAGCGACTCGCGGCAACAAAGGTGCAAAACGCGATTCTTCTGTTGCACCTTTGCTGCCGCAAATTGCTCCTGAAAATGGCACATTGTTGCAAAACGCGTTATCGAGTTTGCAACTTTGTTGTCAAGAATCGCCCCCGAAAATTGCACATTGTTGCACGACGCGCCGTCTTGCAACATTGTGCTTTTTTCGGGAGCGACTCGCGGCAACAAAGGTGCAAAACGCGATTCTTCTGTTGCACCTTTGCTGCCGCAAATTGCTCCTGAAAATGGCACATTGTTGCAAAACGCGTTATCGAGTTTGCAACTTTGTTGTCAAGAATCGCCCCCGAAAATTGCACATTGTTGCACGACGCGCCGTCTTGCAACATTGTGCTTTTTTCGGGAGCGACTCTCGGCAACAAAGTTGTAACAGAAGAATCGCGTTTTGCACCTTTGTTGCCGCGAGTCCCTCCCGAAAAAGCACAATGTTGCAAAACGGCGCGTGGTGCAACAATGTGCAAATTTGGCGACAACAAAGTTGCAAACTCGATAACGCGTTTTGCAACAATGTGCCATTTTCAGGAGCAATTTGCGGCAGCAAAGTTGCAACAGAAGAATCGCGTTTTGCAACTTTGTTGCCGCGAGTCGCTCCCGAAAAAAGCACAATGTTGCAAACCGGCGCGTCGTGCAACAATGTGCAATTTTGGCGACAACAAAGTTGCAAGCTCGATAACGTGTTTGCAACAATGTGCAATTTTCGGGAGCGATTAGCGACAACAAAGTTGCATGTGCGATTACCCCTCTTGCAACATTGTGTATTTTTCGCGAGCGATTCGCGAAAAAGCACTATCTACTAAAATTGTTAATAACTAATTATTGACAGGGTTTAGGACGCTAAAAACTATATGTGAAAGTTGCTGAAGGTCCACACTACATTCCTCAATTCTAAAAGTTCGTAAAATCATCCCAATTAATGAGTTATTAATGATTTTTCACCGGACTACGTGACGGAGGCTCTGGGAGGTGGAGCATAGCGGCT